TTAAGCTAGGCAGCGCCAGAACTGAAGATAAAAAGGCATGATGTAAGGAAAAGGAATTATATCTCTAACTTGAAAAAAACCAACCTCTAACTTGGAAAAAAAAACAAACAACCCCCAACTTGGTGTTTCAGACTGAGTTTGTTTCAGTCTCTGGGTTCAGGTTTGTCCTAGTGAGTTAGGATGTGAAGTGGATTTAATTGCAAGTTCCAGTTCAAGGTTGCCTGGTTAATTATTCACAGTAACATTATTTTCTTTAATGTCAAGATTGAAGAAATTTAATTACTCCTGGTTCCCATTGCAGCTGCCTTCAGCTTTATATCAAGTACATGGAGTTTGAAGACTATCAGTGAAAGCCTCCTGATGCTTCAGTTGATCTATGGAATTCAAACTTTTCTAAAAAAAAAAAAATAATTCAAAAATTTAGAATATTTTAATAAATATATAAAATATTTTAAAACATGGCCAGTGTGCCACCTCCTTGTGCATCCTCTTTCCAGCCAGCTTTGCAGGTGAGCACCATCACAAAGGTGCTGCACATCAGTTGGCTTTCTGTCAAAGTCAACATCATTGCTGGGAATTGGGAGTAAAGGTAAGTGTACCAGCATAACTGTTTCCATTTGAGCCATGTAACTTGTGCCTCTTGGCTACCTATGACACTGCACAGTGCTGACAGTATCTCGAGATATGCCTATTGGAACTAAATGAGCCAGACACTGAAAACTTTCGGTGGTTGTTTGGACTATTTACCTGATAGCAGTTGCTTGGAGAGGGCTTTACAAGAAATGATATTGCCCTCTTTCCTCTTGAAAATTACCTTCACTATGAAGGTGAAGCAGGACTAAGTTCAAAACGTGCTTTCTCTAATTGTTTGCCACATCTCTCCCTCAGGTGATAGAAAATAGGTGCATATAAATCTTCGTCTGTGTTTTGACACTGTAGATGATATTCAGAGATAACTACATCTGATGAAAATCTGCTTGGTGAGGAAAAACGAAAATGCCACTAAAATATAACACCATGAAAATAATAACATTTTGAATTCTTATATTGCTTACCATATACCTCAACCCATTAAATTTTCCAATGGTATTTACATTAAAGGGCAAAATCAAATTTAGTTGTTATGTTGGATGCAGCTTTGGGCACCCTGATCCAGGGGAAGGTGTCCTTGTGCATGGCAGGGGAGTTGCAATTGGATGATCTTCAAGGTCCTTTCCAACCCAAACCATTCTATGATTCTGTGTTGTATAGCAGATGGACATTTTGGTGGATGGAGAAGTTAGATAATTCTCCCACAGTCACAAGAGAAGTTAATGACCACCAGGAATAGAAGCCACACATGCTGACAGCCATGTCTGTGTGAGCCACAAGACCATCCTTCCTCCTGCACACAGAGAAGCATTGGCACAAAAGGGAAGTACTTCATGTGGTTTTGGAGAGGCCGTTCTGCTGATTCTGACATTATGAGCAGCAGGACACAAGATTTTTACTTGCTGGGCTGGCTGCATGGCTCTTCCTGTAGTTATTTTGCAGTTTTGGCTGCTCTCAAACTGTACTTCTTTTCCTCCAAGAGTTGGCCAAATATTCTTCCTTCCTCCATGCAGGAGGAAGGAAGAAAGCCAAAGATGAACGTACCTTTTGGAGAGAAGGTAATTGTTTAAGGAGCTGTGAATGTTTTTTTTTTTTTTAAAAGAAAATCCTTAAAATGCTTATCGATCCTGGTGGATGGAGGAGTGAAGCCCTTTGGTCCGTGTCATGCCAGACACTCCTGAACGGAGTATGTGGGCTTATAATACTGGTAAGAGGAAGTGTTCTTTAGTGCCCACTAATCTAGCTCTGGTGTAAATTATGGAAAGTATTGCTATGTTCAGCGATCTGTCTTACCAGCAATTCTCAAATATGCTCATTTGTTCCATGGTTAACACCACTTCCCAATTTTCAGTAGTCATCTGGCAAACCATCTTGCCTCCCCCAGCTCTCCCTTCAGCCTGCACCAATAGTAATTCCAGCAGCAACCAACAGAGTAAGTAATAACATCATGTAAGCAAGAGTGGAGAAATAGCGAGTAACACTTAAGAGCAGTAGTTTGAGAGAGTCAGCTGCCCCCTAGCCTAGGTAATACTGAGTGGATGCAGCTGAACTATTTGGGATGGGAAGGGAAAAGACAGGGAACACAGTCCCTCTTTTGCCACCCACTATGGAACGGGTGCTGGCCTTGGCTGGGATGGTTGTGGAGAAACAGCTTTTCCTTCTGATGATTTCTGAAAAGAACTGTAATAGACTGTGGAAGCATCAAGTTGGCTTCTGCAGAACCACAGCGGTATGCTAGGTTTTATCAATATTAAAAATTGCCCAGTTCATATTTCTGTAAGTAATGGACAGACAATAGTAAAATAGCTTTCCCTAGAAGGCATTATTTATCCAGAGAAATGCTCTGGGAGGAGGAGGTGGTTAATGGCCATGTTATTAAACAGTGGGATTCTGCAATTCTATATTGTCATCTTGGAGTGAGATGGGGATGATAAGGTAGTAGTATTTAGTCATCTGTCAGTTAACACGAACATGCTTTTCTCGTATATGCAACAGAAGGCAAAACCAATCTAATTTTAAAATCATTATTGTAGTAGTGATCAAAGGCCTTAGGTAGGTGGGAGGTCCCATAGCTTTAGGTGTTAGGCAAACAGCAAATGACTATTTCTGCCTTTAAAATCTTAAAGTCTTTTTTAAGGCAAGACTTTCTGTGCATGCAGAGAGGTTTCTTGCCTTATTGAAATGAGAGAAAAGAGACTCCCCTGAGTACCTAGGCCTGGATTTCTTTAGTGTTAGATCCCTGAGTATTACTGAAATGAATTCTTGGTCTGAAATAATTTCATCGTTCTCTCAGTTCTTCAGCCTTTTAATGCTGAGTTGTCAGTTTCTTACTAGATTAAAAAATAACAAAAACTCTGTAAAACACTGCAGCATTGCGTTCATATTCTTATACATACTCTTCTGGCTCCTTTTCTTCTGTTAATGTTGCTCTGATTAGCTGTAAATATTGAGGAGATATTCTTGAAATAGGTTATTCCTAAGGGCCACTCTGATGTATATCCTCTTACAGCATGGCACAGCTGGGAATGGCAATTTACTCTTGTAACAGGTTGACCAAGGATCAGCTGCAGTATTAAAAGATTAGTACCCAGTTAATTTCCAGTGAGCTGTTCTGTAATAAACTCAGCATGTTGATGTGGGTTTGCAATGTTTGAATGTCTTTCTCATTTATGTAACATTTTATTTGAAATCTAGCTAAAAATAAAAATGAAAAAATCCCTATATTCTGTTAATTCTTGATAATATATATTATCAAGAAACGCTTTGATTTTAAACTTATAATTTATATAATGATATGTATGTTTGGACTAACAAAGCAAACAAGCCCCTTTTAACTAATAGGTTGCAGTGCTGCCAACTGGAACAAATGCTAAATATGTGGACTCAGTAATAAAAAAATGGACCAGTTAATTTGTTTTCAAGGTTTATTAACATGATTCAGTCTTACTTATTAATGACCTCTGTACCTACAAAACCGAATACAGCTGTTACAACATTGTATTTATCTAGTGATCCTGCTGTAAACAGCTATCGCTGCAGCATTGCAGATCCACTTCTGTCTCATTTTCCAAGTGCTTAGCTACTACTGGATTAAACTGATTCCTAATGTACCCAAGACTATATTCTAAGCCAGCAGGGAGTTAGCAAAACTCAGAAAATGTTGAGAAAGCTCCATGTAGTCTAAGTGCAATGTCTCCAGGAATTTGAGAGAAAATGAACCTAGGGGAGGATTTCCTGACTTAAACTTTCAATACTGCTCCTGTAGTAGTTTTTAAACCTGCATTCTTCACAATATCAGATACACTCCATGTTACACAGTAATGAAATTCACGGTAGACCACTGTTTATGGGGCAAAACCACTAGCATTGAAACTATTAGCCTTTATCCATTAGGTGTATCAGCACTAGCATTACTCACAGTCCTCTCCGTTATTTACAGTTACGGTGATGAGGACTTATGTCGGACTCTGGGCCATGCAACAAACTTTCTGCATAGGAATTGGTAGGCAGGGTGCTTGGCAGTCTAATGTGGAAATTCTTTGTCTGGTGTCTTGAATTCTGGTATCTTTTTCCGCTGCCCTGGATACAAACGTGCTTTGACATTACTTTGAGTTGTAGACATGGTGGATGCTACAACTCTGTTTTTCTGCTGAGGAAAGGATAGTGTTTTCTGATCAGTTCTAGTCAGGTATTTAATATTAAGTTTTATATATAGGAAATCAGAGTATGCAAGAAAACTGAAAAAGGTCTTTGCCCTCAGAGTGAGACTATCTTTCTTTGGACTGTGAGCAACATGAGTAAGAATCACGGTGTTCCTCTTTTTGGCCTTGGGATCTGTTTTAATGTCAGCAAGATTTATGAGATGCTTTCACTGACTGTATTGTGTCCACAGTGTCTCTGTGCCCAGGACCCTGTGGAGTGAACAATTACACATAGAAGAGTGACCTTCTAATGGATGCTGCAGCAGCTTCTTTTGAAGGGTTACAACAAAAAAGATTGTGCCAGATCTGCTCAAATAGTTTAAAGCGTGCTAGATTTGCTCATTTGTGATGTGTGTGAACAGCTGATGAAGCTGACTGTCTTCCTTTCCTGCAAACTATAGAAGATGCATTGGTAATTAGGCAGATTTTGAAGCACTTGCAAGAGCCTATGTTTTTTCACCCTTTAAACAATATAATCTCTGGTTCACATATGATAAAGAAGTAATATTATTTTTAACAATGTGATTTGCATGCTTTTCTATGAGTTGGTTAAAAAAATCTGTTCACGCAGGGTTGTTTTCCTTGTTTGCATAGCTGGTTTGTGAGGGCCTCAGTCACTTGGTTCAGGTTTGCTGATGCCCCGCTTTGCATCTAAAATGTCTTGGCAAAGAGCATGAAGTGTTTTATCTCCTCTTCCCTGGAGGCTCTGCAGAAGCCTACCCTTTGCCATAGGTTTAAAAAGTAAAAGGCAATTACCCCTGTTGTCAAGCAGTCGGTGAATAATGTGACTCCTTGCCTTGGAGAAGGCTCCCAGCCCCCATGATGCTCCGTGTGTGTGGAAGCTGGGCTCATAATGTCGCAAAATAAAATCCAGGATGCTGCCATCAGCTTTGAGGGTTGAAAAAGCAGAGAATTTAACAGACTAAGTTCTAAGGTCAATAAAAGACTGTTTTGCCCTTACTAGTCTTGGCCTGAGAGAAAAGTAACTGTGGATCATTACTCAATTGGTGGGAATCACATCTAGTGGAAAGCACATTAGCATTTCTGATTTATAGTATTTCTGGTCCAACACAGTGTGTCCAAAAATAACCAGTAATTTCAGCTGTAAAAGTACAACCTATGTAGGATGATTAAGCAATAATATGTCCAGGGGACAAGGTATTTTGCGTAAGTAGTTGGTCTTTGTCCTTGCTTAAATGTTTTTAACCTTTCCAGTGTTCTAAGTGGATTGTAGATATATTTATAATGTGCATCAGTATTTGCAGTCAAACAGAAACCTTGAGCTAATATTAGAGCTTATTTAATAAAGATGCAGGAAGAAATCTATCACAATGGATATATTTTTAACATGAAAGATAGATTTCGTACATTGTATTTTAGAAGCAAAAAACCCACATATTGTCAGGATAAATAGATGAAAGTCAGTGTTGAGTTACATAAAACTTAACTTCAAATCATTATCGTTTAGTCGTGTTATAAGTATCTGAAAGCAGAGCTTCATAATTAGAATACTGTTAAAATGTCAGGCATCCTCAACAGTAGCCACTACTCTGAGCCTCAAGCTGAAGCATGAAATTCAACCTCATCTTTCCTGTGTTGAAGATATTTACTGTGTTTAAATTTTACAACAATAACTTCAGGTACCTAATTGCTAATTACATTTTGACACCCTGCTGCAACAGTGTACAAGGCCTTGTAGCTGAACAACAGACTTAAGGAGCTTTCACTGGGCTCAGAAGGAATTCTTTTCCCAGCCTATTTTAATTGCAGCAGCTGCCTCTCTTCTGGCAAAAGCGTTGTTGAGGAGATGGCAAAGGGGTTGAGAAACAAAGGACTTTGTCCCACCCTCCCCAAGGAGGAGAGTACCTGGGAGACTCTGAACACAGGGTAGGGATCCCCAAAGGGCTTAGCACATTGTAATGCAGAGAAAAATGAGGCTTCTTGTGCTGGTGACAAACCTTTACCTCTGAGAATCGAGTTGTGCCTCTGAGCTTTGTAATCTGGAAGTGAGAGTAGAGGAATTGCCTCCTTCATTGCAAGTGGGTCAATTGAGTGCAGCAGACTTTCGCTGCACTGTGTCCTTAATCATCCTTCTGCCTGAGAGCCTGTGTCTTCAGGTCTGTGTGGTATTGTAGGTCATCTTTGCCTCACAGTTAAGTCCTATGTCTGCCAACAAACATTCACAGCATCAGGGCTTAAAGTATTTCTGTGTCACTCTAAAGAAAAACAAAAGCTTTTAGAATTTTTGTCAGTAATTGGAATCCTTCTCTTTCCTCAGGTTTTTCCACTTCTATGTTTCTCTGTCCCATAAGGCTTATTTTAATCTTTGTTTCACACAATGAAGTTGTGAGATGTGAACTACTTAGATACAAATACAGAGCTAGGTGAGAAGTGAAAAATTTTGGCCAGGATCAGAACAGTTGTATGAAGAGTTACTGAAATAAAGGCCTATCGAGCATGATCTTCTTTGTCTCATAAAATCATCTGTGTTCACCCACCTCTGCCACCACTAAAGTAATTAAAACAAGAAAGAACCAGAACCAAGTTGGCCAGATCAGGTGTAGAAGTGAGTTGAGAAAATGTCTTGTGCACTTGGAGCTACAGTAATGAGAACCATAGAGACACTAGGATAGAAATGTATATTGTTATAGATGTGAGTTGCAAATTATTTGCAAGTATAAACAGAAGACTTCATTGCAATTGAAATTGGGGAATTCCTGGTCTTTTCCCATAAGCAACAAGTGATTTAGGTCCACAGGTGTAAACTGCTGATGGCTCTTAGGGTTGCAGCTGGCTTACTCAGCAGAGCTATGTAGACAGCTGCTCTGAGGAAGCATCTTCTGAAGTTATTTTAGTTGTTGTCTCAGCTTTCCAGGCTGTGTCTTTACCATCTATCCTGTATAGAATTGTAATAGTAACGTAAGGCAGAGGTGCATGCTGCTCCCATGCAGCTGGCCCTCACAAACCTTCAGCTGCCCATCTGTATCATGTCTTCCTTTGTATTAGAAGAGCTACCTGCATGCAAAACCAGCCTTCTTGTGAAGATGTGCCGTAACTGAATTTCCCACACAAGATTCATAGGCATTAATGCCAAGCTAGTGCATTGCAAAATTGTAGTGGGTCCCATGTGCACACTGCGCTTGGTTCTTGCTTGTCATAAACAGTGTGCCATTGCTCTTCCAGGAGCAGAGCAAGATATAGGAGTGGGAATTGCCACCAACTCAAAACTGTGAGGCTTTGCAGGTCGCTGGAAATGACTAACCAAGGCGCAAAGCAACAGCTTTCAGACTGTGATCTTGAGTTATTAATAGAGCTATGGTTTTGCTAGGTCAGGAATGGCACAGATATTTATTTTTACTTGTGGACCAATGGAAATAAATTTACTTGATTCTTTTAATCTTTCTCATTACCTTGTTTATGTTTCACTAGCTAGCATGTATCTCGGGGCTGAACCCTGGGCTCTGCTTTGGTACAGCTAAGGAAACTTGCCACTCCCATCTGCATCATTAGCCTCATGTTAATGATACTTAATGTTTTGCCCAGTCACTTGTATCTTCAGAGCACTTAACAGTTATTAACTAATTAATCCTCACAACATGCCTGTAAGTTGGACGGGAAGTAAATATTAACATTCCACTTTCAGCAAAGGGAGAACCAAATAGGAAGATTAAGTGATTTGCGCGATTTTAGTGGCAGAGGTCTTAAGAGAACTCCGGTGCCTTAGTGCTTGTGTTTATCTTTCCAGCCATGCTGGCTCAGTGTGAATTAAAGCCTTTGCAATTATCCTGTATAGCTTTTGTGATTACTTTAGTACCTTTTCAGCTACAAGGTTTATGTCGCATCTGTGGTCATAACTATCATACTGGAGGATGGCTGCTGCCCAGAGGTGCAGACCTCTCCATGTCCCACCACAGAAAATGTGGGCAATACCAAGACAGAGGCTACAACTCACATGTACTTCTCTCCATAAATCCAAGCCAGGCCTATATTAAGAATGGGACTGTTCAGAAGAAAAATCCTCAGACTCCTCACCAGGCCTTATTAAAATATATGTAATACCTGGCCAATGCTTTTACAGAATAATATTAGTTATTTATACCTCTCTTTCAGTTGGTGCTAGAACAAAGCTGGAGCACCTGAAAACGGTAAGTCTTGCTGTGGAGACAGTTCTGATGCTCTCAGTCTTCAAGGAACATACATGAACCTATGGGAATTCTATCTGATACGCTTAATTATCATGAATTTTAAAAGGTTGTAAATTATTTTAAGCAGCATAAAGGATTTTTCCTTTAACCATGGCCCTATGCTTTCCTTGAAGCTTCTGTGTTCTGCATGGAGATCACATCTTAAATGACTCCAGAAGGCTCTGGGTAAATTTTTACATTGACAAAGCCTACAAGCAAAAATGTGTATGTTCTAAATACTAAAAAATACTAATGTTAGTGAACATAAAGAATGCCATTTTTAATGGATATGTAGTTCAAAGCTCAGCTTCTGCCTTGTCAGTCTCATCTGCTGGAAGAATTATTTCCACCCTTTCACCAGAAGAAGGGGGGTTACAGGAAGGATGAAATGCCTTGGGAATAGCTTTGGCCACACAGTGTCAGGTGGAGCATGAGGATGTGCTCTGGCATCTACTTGAGCAGCTGCAAAGAGCTCACACAGCTCAGTTGTAGCCCTTCCTACCCTGAGATGTCTTTCTCTGTATTCCCTATGCTGCACGCTTTGGATGTGGTGAAGGCTTGGCAATGGCAGGCCTTTCTCTGCCACACAGGGAAAACTGTGCCAGTGATAAAGCTGGAGTGTGATCCTCTTTACTGGCAATAGATCTAAAGTGGGTACAATGAATGAAGAAATGTGGCCCTGTCAACCTTCATATCTTTCACTGTGACAGCATTTGATCTCTTCTTTCCATCTACTCTGAGAGTCATCTTGGGGGCTCTTTCACAGCTGAGAGAATGAATAGTTTAATTCTGCTGAGCTTTTACACCTGAAGGCAGAGATATTTTTGTCGTTTATTCCCTATGGCCTCCCTTTTCATACTGATCTGTAGTGTACATGCTGACATGTTAGTAGCTGACATAGCAAGACCCCAAGCTGTAGGAAGAGGAGGTGCCAGGTCAAGGATTCTTATGTCCTCCTGTGTCAGCTTATCCAGGTCACCACAGCCTGCCTTTATCCAAATTGCTCCCACTTGTTGTTTTGTCATCTGTGAGAGGAATGGGTCAGAACTGAGCTCAATATTCTGTTGAGATATTATTCCTATTTCCCACTTGTTAATTGCCCATGAGAGCTGGGTTATCTGCCAGAAAATGTGTTACAGAGACTGGAAGCATAAGTGTTTTTGTCTTGAATTTAGCAAAAGCTTTCTGCCAGAGACACAAGGTAGAGTTAGGGTACTTGGGAAATGTTTTAGTGTTTCCTAAACATCTTCTAAACACTTTTCCCCTGTACTTGGCACTGGTATGGCTATGCCTTGAATACTCTATATACAGTTTTGGCCCTCTCACTACAAAAAAGACTTTGAAGTGCTAGAGTGTGTCCAAAGAAGGCCAAAGAAGCCAGTGAAGGGCCTGGAGCACAAGTCTGATGAGAAACGGTAGAAGGAACTAGGTGGTCTCTTATCCTGCGTAACAACTGATAGGATAAAATGCTATCAAATTGTGCCAAGTTTAGTTTAGGTCAGATATTAGGAAAAAATTCTTTACCAAAAGAGTTGTCAAGAGCTGGAACAGGCTGTTCAGGGAAACAGTAGAGTCACCATCCCTGGAGGTATTTAAAAGGTGTAGGAACATGGTTTAGTGGTGGACTTGTCAGTGTTAGATTTATGGTTGGACTCGATGATTTTAAAAGGTCTTTCCCAACCTAAACAATTCTATGGTTCTAAACATACACGATTTCAAAAACACTGAAAATTCAACACCCAAAATGATGTTTTTGTTTTGAAAGTAACTACCTTGCTGTAAGAAACAACTTATAAGGTGTTTTTTGTGAAATCCAAAACTTAAAAGTTTGTTGAAAAAACATGTTTAACTTTATATAAAATAAAAAATGGCATTTTGGATACGTTTTCTTCTTATAGTAAGAATGCTTTGCATTGAATGAGACTGCTTTGGATCTTTGCATAGATCCCAACTTTTTGGTAGTTCAGCCACTATTTCAAAAGTTATAGTTGGTACATCTTGGCTCTTAGTCCAGTTCAAAGTTCATTTATCGTATGCATTTGGGTGGGTTTATTCCCATCTTGTTCACCCAATGGTTGCCCTGCTGATAATCTTTTTTATTCAGAGTAGTAAAATACTTAATCTATTGCTTGTGCCAAATTGTTTCTATGTGAAGGCTGGCGAGCAAGCTTTAGGCTGCAACCCTGGCTTGTGTTTTAGGAGCTTGGACATACCTGACGAGAGATGGGTGAGAGGGAGAAGGGCAATGTAGTTCCCTCTTGCTGTCCACAGGAGGCCTGGGACATACAGCATGTCTGTAGCGTGACATACCCACCGTCTTCTCCATGGGGACACACTTTCACTCAGAGCTGGCTATAGTCCAGTATTGCTTGTAGAAACACTTGGAACACCAACGAAGCCTAGAAAGGTCATATGGAAATGGTACCTGTGCTCCCTCATACAATGCAGAGTAGTTCAAGAGGATATCCACCTCTTGCATTGTAAAACTGAAGTTTTCTGATTCCCATGACTCCCACTGAAATCCTGATAACAAATGGAATGGTCTATGATGCCAAAGGTAGAAGGACAGCGTACAGAGAAAACACAATGGCTTTATACAAAACGCTGTCCTGATTTCCCACCCGCCTAACATCAGAAAATGATTTTCAGTTTCAAATACATATTTAATACTCTCTATTTAAAAATTCTCCCTGCTCTGTTAAGCCAGTGTCAAATCCCAATGGAAGCAGGCTTTATACTGCTGCACTTATAAATGACATTAATTTTTCATGAGAGTAGGTGCTGTCAGCAGGAACCTCAGAAACTGTGAGCTGAACAGATCGCTTTATTTTCAGCTTAGTAAAGTTCTTGCTGTAACTAATAAATCTTCTTTTGTGGAATTTCACAGGAGCAAAGCGATCCCAGTTATCTTTTTTAGCAAGCTGTTCTTTTGCTTTAGCGAAGCAGGACAAGTATTTGGCAGGGGCAGCTACGGAGCTGCTGGTGGGCTCCAGGTCAGAGCTGGAGCTGAGAAGCCCCAGAATGTTGCAGCAGTGCCTGAGGCAAGGCAAAAAAAAATTGATTAAAAGGAATTTTCAAACACAGGTTTTTGTCCTGCAGATTTCTGGGTATGGGAAGGGCGGTAGGAGGGGTGTGAGTCTTATGATAGAAGGCACGGCTGTGGTATTCAGGTACCTCTGTCTACTTGAAGGTAAAGTCCTCCTTTGGCTGCATCAGCACCAATCATGGGTAATACATAATGACAGCAAATTTAACGTGTGCAATCTGTAGTCATGATGACACAGTGAGACTTGAATCCTGTTTGCCACAGGTGCCGCAAAACTGTATTTAAAATGACAACTGGAAAGTGCAGAGTTTCCAAAATGTGTTTTACACTTTTTCTGCTTTGGCTCCTGAGTACCTCCAGAAAGGCACCCTCCCCATTTTGCCTGTGTTTCCCAGCTGTAGCACCTGAAAGTGTGATCATGGTGAGCGCTGCCTTACTATTTTCCTCACATAAGCAATGCCTGGGGCTATGATAACCTTTTTTTTATTTCACTGTTCAGACCCAACGGGTCTCCTTTTGCAGACACACACTATTTAGGTGATTATACACAGCCAGTCATCCAGCTTTCCCCAGTTACTGGTATGTTTTGAACAAACACAGATGAGGGGAAGTATGAGACATCACGTTAAAATACTTCCTGCCCAGTCCCTCAAAGAAAGGTCTTTGCACAAATGCTTGACATACAGATCATATTCAACCTTTGATCATCTGTCATTTTGTTGTAAGAAAGCATGCCATCATTTGCCACTGTTTAAAATAGACCCAAAGGAAGTCAGGGCTTAATCTTAACCTCAAACACATTGAGCCCTGTATTTCCTATCCAGCCATACACTGTGCTATCTGGTTTCCTACACCTCAGGCCTGCTAAGTTTAGTTCCTCCCAGTCAGCTGCTAAGAAGCAAGGGAAATCATGTTCACTGTGGATAAAGTATTCGCTGTCCGCAGCTCTCCCAACCTTTACATGTTGAGTGGTAGACAGCAATGCAGTTTTGGGGTTTCTCATTAGAACAAACAAACAAATAAATAAATATATTTTGAATTCTTTTCCCTCTTACTCTTCATTTGTCCCTTGGGCTCATACATTTAAATCTTTGATGCCATGCTTTCTTGGACTTCTCTAGAAAGAACATTATTACTTGCATGCTTAGGCATAATCATTTAGCAGTTTTGATCATCGTGTGGTTAGGCCATTCAATGTTGGAGTGCTATGCATTAATTAAAATATCAAATCCACTGCAGTCAGTCAGGTCTTTCATCTTAGAAAGTAAATGAACGAGTAGGAGCGTAAAACATACTATACAGGGATTGAGATTGCCTCACCAGAAATCTTTATTTATCATAGAAAGTAGCTGCATGAAAGAGCTGTGATAAAACTGACCTGTTTTCCCTTTATATTGGTATGATTCCCTGTCCATTTACTTCAGGCAAATGGATTTTTATCACAGAGAAACTGGATGATTTTTTTGGAGGTAGTCTTGGGGCCTGCTATGAAAGCCACAGACCTCTTTCTGTAGTGTGTCTTCTGGGGACCTTAAACATTTAACTTCTTTGCTTCCGCCACTGATTTTTAGTAGAATTATGTAGTTTTGACATAACAGTACTCATGGGGTTATTGGGCCATGTCTAGCAGCCACATGTCACAACATGCAGGCTCAGTATTCATGTGCTGAAGCTATCAGTTTCAGAAGGATTTGCAACTCTGTACCCCTGCCATAAAGTGATCTATTTTCCCAGGGCATTTCCTAGCTGAATTTTGGTTTTGGATGATTTACATAGGAAAAGTCTTTGCAACATTAATGCCTTTGTGAAACCTATAGGACTGGAAAATTCCTTCCTTGTTCCACCTGAGTCTAGTAAGCATTGGTTAAATTTCTTCTTCCTGTTGTGTTCACACAGCTTCAGTGTTTCAAATCATGGAAGAAAAAAATCCTTCTGATGGCAAGGATTTACAACACCATTACAAGAGGGAGGAGAGCCTGGAATCTAATTACAAGAAGCAGAAAGGACTGAAGACCTTATTTTGGTGCTTGCAAAGAGGTGCTGTTTCCCTTTAGCAGAGTTGCATACAGTTTTATCTGAGTTCTTCTGATATTTAAATAACATTATATTCTTCCATCCCTGCTTCCTCCTTGAGTTTGGATGGCAGCTCACACAAATTCAGCTTTGAATTTGGTTATCAGGATTCACCTCTTCTCTTAGCAGCATAATGAATAAAAACACTCAGTTGAACCTAAAATACAATAGACCTCTGAAGAATATTGATGTCTAACAAGCAAAGAAAGGTTAATTCTATTAAGCTTAAAACAGGTCAGGGAACACTATTCTGTATTTTTATTTTAATAAATACATGCACAAAGATGTATTTCATTCTTCTCCATCAGCCCCCCTGCAATCACCTAATTCTCTTCTCATTTTATCCATTGTAAAATGGATAAATCATAAGCTTCAACATTCACATTTTAAATTAGAGGCAAATTGGTCTTGATGTCTGCATACATTTTTAAAATAAAGCAATTAAATGTGTGAAGGAAAAAGCAAACCACAGAGTTAGTTCAGAGTGTTGTCCTACAGATAAGGACAGAAAATGCTTAAGAAAAAGATGTCTGGAGCGTGTAATTGAATTAATGTAATCCAGTCATGGGCAGAAGATCCTGACACTGTATTAGTCTGCTCAGAGATGGCTGAAAATAGAAGATGAAAATACCTAGATGTTAATGGCTCCAGTAAACCATCACAACGCATCTTCAGCCAGTCAGGACTGCTTAATACAAAATTCAAAGCTGAAGGTCCTTCTGAGCCAAAGGAGACTTCTGTGAGGAGGAAGCTCTTAATACACTGAATAACCCTGGCAAGCAGTCACGAAGCTTACTGTCAGACAAAAAGAGAATGGGGATATATTTGTCTGATTATTCTTGCAGGTGTTGGGATTCATAATCTGCCATTTTTCTTTTAGCTGGTGTGCATGTAGCTCATCTCACTGGTTTTAGTGCAAATCACAGTAACACTCAGCCTGATTAAGGATGGCTAAGTAGCCCAGATTAAGGAGCTTTAAGAAATGTTTGCTCCAGGCCCAGCTCTGTTGGTAGCAGCATCTCAGTGATGCTTCCCAATTACTGTAGACTCAGACAACCATGTATTATCCTTGTGTAATTCCAAAGGCAGTGTATTGTAGGTTTGCAATAGTACCTTTGGTTTTTATCAGTAATCTTCATGCTTTATCTGTATCTCACTTAATAGATTCAGGAACAGACACCTTTTTTTCTCCGAAAAGAAAAGATAGCAGAAAAGCCCAAATCCGTCCTTTTGCCTGCCATGTGTGGAGCAAATGGTGCTGACACCAGGAAATGCACAGCACTTGACACGTGCATTCTGTAAGTGTGCGGATGCAGCGAGCAGGCATTGTGTGCAGTCAGTGCTTCAGAGTGCTGACAGCATCCTGACAGGCACAGTGGACTGAAAAGAGGATAAACGACTATAAAAAGCATATAATTACATTGTTATGTGCATAAATATGTGAATTAGCGAAGACTTCAAAAAATTGCCTTCTATCACAGAATAATGTATTATTTACGCAACTTTTGCGTTGTAAATAATTTTTAAACTACTTTATGTATACAGTACTTTTTAGGATGATAGTTTAGACTTTGAAGGTACTCACGGTGAGAAGAGGAGCTGTGCAGGCTGACTGGAAAGTTATCACTTTTTCAGTTGCTATCTTCCTTGTAACAGCAGACCAGCATGGTGTCCTCTGCCCACAGAGGGGCAATTTAGCAGACTGGAGCAGGAAGAGACCCCTGGACACAACCAGAAGTTATGTGACTCCCTAGAGATGTGGGGAAAGGTGGGAGAGTAAAGGAGGGAAGGGACTGATGATTCCTGACCATCTAAGGAGACAAAGCCTGGGGAGAGATGCTAGCGATAGTCACATAACATTGCAAGCTTAGCCTAACCCTGCTGAAGTGTGGATGCACAGACAGGATGTGCGGACCCTTTGTTGGCAGTACCAGGCTATGTCTGCACAAATGCCATGTTGCTTGAGCTCTCCTGTAGTGAAAGTATAGGTGGAGGCTGTCAGTTCCCAGCATGGTGTGACCCACAGCCACCCATGAAGCAGATCAGCCTGACCTGGCTGGTGATCTGGCAGAGGAAAAGCACCTGGTCTGGTTCCGAGCGGAGGCAAGCACACAGCAAGCTGCTGTAAATACAGCTCTGGCTGAGAACACAGGATTCCAAAACAAAGTCTGACAAAAATCTCTGTGTATAATACAGTTCCTTCAGGAGCTTTAGGAGAATGCTGAGCATTGGGTTTGCAGAGACATCAGCTCCTGCCTCTGCTCTTCTGCTCATGGCTCAGCTCTTGCTCTTCTTCCCAGGTTCTTCAGCCATTCTTCACATTGCTCCACTATGAGGAGAAGAAAAATCCCATGTCAAGATGCCTTAACCATCATCACAACATTTACACTTTCTTTGGAAACTTGCCCTGGTTGTCTAATGCAGCCCCAGGCAGGCCAGAGCCAGCCACAGCCTCTGCCCTGCTGAGCTCTCGTCCAGTTTTGTCTCCTGCAACATTTGTGTTTTGGTTGGTGTTTGCCCCATGCCGAAGGGTGGGAGCAAGCTGGGTAGCACCCAGCGCACCACCAGGGATGGCACATGGATTTGCTGCCAGGACTCTGGCACTTGAGGGGGTCCTAACAGACACCTCAAAGAGTGACCCTCAGAGCTGAAATAATCATGGTAAAAGGTCTGGGGGCCTCCATAGGGAGTGATGCAAAACATTTATGTGTGTACAGCATCTAGATATCCATTAGGAAAAAAACATGAATGAGCTTTGATAGCAGGGCAATATTCCCTACATTACACTGATGAGTTACAGTGTACATTGCATGACATCTGTGCAGAGCCTTGAGCAATGGATGACTAAGTATCATCTGATTTTCTGTTATTAAAAAGTAGGTGAATGTGTGTGTTACACTAAGGAAGGAAATGATGAAATTGGAGTGACATACTTGGAAAGAGCTCCATTTCAAAACCCCTTTTTCCTTTTCAAGGCAAAGGAGTTGCTGTTAACAGCTTCATGCAGGGTTGGAAAAAGCCAAAGCAATAAGAAAGCAGTCTTTTGCTTTTAGGTATTCTGAAGTTATGATAGAGAGATAGTGATAGAAATTTTATTGTGTACTTTTCCAGTGTAATGCTATGGAGCAGGCAGATTTCCTGATGCCTTTAATAAGAATGGTAACTCTTTGAACTCAGACGTGTGCCCGGTTGTGCTCTGTATTTAGAAATCGAACATTGCTCCTAGCAGTGACTTTTTAAAAGATTTCTTTTCTTAATGTAAATCATCTTCTATGTTGACCTTGGGTGAGACAAATCAATACAGGACTGCTGAAAGCAGTGCTCGTTCTCAGCAGGAATACTGGCGCCAGAGTTAGGCAGCACCAGCCAACCACAGCCCCATGGCAGCCCTGCTTGGCCCCATGGAGCCACCAGGCCCCAGCACCCTCCCATGCAAGTAGGTAATGTGGAGGGTGATGTGAACCCATGGAGGTTCTTTAGTTGTACCAAAGCAGCAGGCTTTCGGGGATATGGTGCTGATCTTCAGATTGCCGGGCTGTTGTGTGAGACAGGCTCACTGGGACCCTCTAAGCTTTGGTTTGTCTGCAGCATCACTAGGATCCAGCAGATTGCAGGCTGAGCAGCCTGGCATTGAGCACGATGTGCAGACATCATTCACTAAAGGTTATTGCTCTCTATTATTTTAAAGATGGGCATGGAGAAGGGAAGATGTTACTGCTTTAATGCTATTGTGATCATATATGCTTATGGCAGATATGCTATAGGCTTAACTTCTTTCTGCCTTTAAATATTCCTATGAAAAGCACAGGAAATAACATGAAAAATAAAATCAAGAAACTTAATAGCCTGTGCATCACTGTAACTTCCATTATTTCCTGGGTTTGACTAGCTCAGAAATACTGCAGGAAGTGCTTTTTCTTGTGGTATTTTTGCTTCCTCCCCCAGCAGAGTGGTAGCATCACACAGCAACATGTGAAAATGAGAGAGACCCATGCTGCTGGTGGACTGGGTCATGGGAGTGCTGGATTTCTCCTTTCTGTGGCTGTTCCCAGCTAGCAGCAGAGAGCTGGGGGTTGATATGGCAATGCTCTCCCACTCTCTGCAGCTGGGAACTCCTGGTCCCCTTTAGAGAGAGCTGCAGGGGAGCAGGAGGGTGGGCTGAGGGCAGGCACAAGGCTGGCCTTCTCCTTGTTACTTGATGCCTGCAGAGAAGCAGATTGTCCTGAGGTTTCTGTCACTTTGCGGCTTTAGGCCAATTTTTACTGTATCTGAATGAGTCTGCCCAGCACCCACATACATCTTAATAAACATGCAGGAGGGTTAGCCAATTCCTCATGAGTACTTTATCATTTTGAGGTATTTTGAGATCTCCTTTAGCGATGTGAAATGCCTGTGACCTTCCTCCATCTAGACTGCACACTGACCAGTCAACATTCAGTCTGGTGAGCCAGACCATATGCATTAAATCCTACATTAAAGCTCTGTTGATAGCATTATGCTTATTAAATAATACAAACATTTTTCCTGTTTGCCAAACAGTGGGGATCCCTAGTGCACACTGGGGAGGCATGAACTATAAAAGCCTCTATTCTTGTTTAATTAGGCCATATCTAATTAAAATTATTGCCTGCCATTACTAGCATTTATAAAGTATTTTCCAACTCAGCATGACTCATAGGGCTGTATGGAGACAGATTGCACTGCAATCTATTTGGGATGTGTTTGCCTGTGCTGTGCAGTTGTCCTTTATCATCATAAGCAGGCAGCGTTTGTCTGAATTATTATTTAGCATGTACTGCCAGCCATCAGGCCTCTATGGTTGCTGTTATAAATCAACTGATTAGCCTATTTTGCATATATATGAAATCTGGGTTTGAGATCCAGTCTGGGGCTCTGAACAGACAAATTAATTTCAAGGTAGAAGCAAGATTGTCCCTAGAAGTGGCTGATGGGGAATTCAACAGCTTGAGGCTAGTTTGGTAGTCAAGTATTGCAACCAATATTGCAGTTTTTTTTTATGAATCTGGGTGGTAGTGTGTGCTTCAAGCAGCCCACTCAAAGTTAAGCCCATAAGGAGTGACTGCTTTGGAGGGAAACAAAGACCCTGGCCATTAAATGGCATAGGATGCTATAGGCAACCCCATTAAAGCCAAGGTTAGCAAGTGAAACCCACTGGAGAGGAGCCAGGCATTCCCTTTGAGGTGAGATCAACCCAAGCCAGCTCGAACTGATGGGAAGAGGTGATGAGCTGTGGTGGGCCAAGGTTTTGCCTACATTTGCCTGAAGAACAAAAGTGTGCCTGAAGAGAGGGTGGGGTGCTATACAGCGTGCTTCAGGATGGGGAAGAGGTGCAGAAAAGGACCTGGGACCTGAAGAGAAGAGGCTCAGGAGGGGAACCAGCCCATCTGGTTTGTGCAGGGCAGGACAGTTCGCAGCGAGCTGCTCCCTGCCAGTTCAGTGGGTGAGGGATGGAGCTGTGCTGGAGCAGGCGGGATGCTCAGGGCTGGGGTGAGCGTATGGAACTGCCTGTGGAGCTGAGGGTGGTTGCTGCAAGTCAAACAGTAGGATCTGGAGAGATCGTGCTGTTTTTGTGGGATCTTGGCTTGAAATGTGTGAATGCCTGGAAACTCTATTGTCAGGCTGATAACTGAGTTCCCAGGCATGCAGGACTGAGGTTTTGTAGGCTATAGGGTTTAGAGCAGCAGTTTGAAGGGTATATTGGGAGGTATATCCACACTGGAAGGATGGTGTGGAGTGAAGAGTAAGATCCCGTGAGAGTCTGTGCTCCCGATGGGAGGCAGGCAGCAAACCAGTGCTTCTGCTGGGGGTTATGCAGGGATGTTCCCCTTCCCTCCCAGACCCCTTCTTCATTCACCTCTGGCTTTTTGCTCCCTTGATGGTGCTACAGCACATCGGGTATGAAAGGTGGTAAAGGTGTGAGAGTTGAGAAATGGGTGAGGGTACAACAGGATGCTGATAATGGCAATAGTGGTCACTGATGCAGCAAACGAAAGTAAAAGGGTCAGCTCTTCAAATTACAGCTTGTATGGGTGAGCTGAAGCTTTTGCTGTGTCCATGCAAGGTGTACAATCATATGTCAACTCTTGTTCTCTTTCACAGCTAGTATTTTTGATAAGTTTTTCTTCCAAGGGTTATCGCAATGTGTGAAACATGGGTATGATGCTGTTATTGTCTTTTAAGTCAGTACCTCACAAGTAAGACAATGCAAGATAGGAAACTGAGTTAAAATTAAAATCTTACCATATAAATTTAAGTGTTTTGTAGGCTTGCCCATCTGAGATTATAGCAGCTTTATTCTGAATGCTGTACCTAATACAAAGAAAGATGTAATACCTGCCCTGGGAGTTGATAGTCTCAAAGGCAATGCCTTTAGAAAAAAAAGGTAATATTTTCAGTTTCATTTTATAGGTGAGAAACTGGGACACAGAGAATCAAATTACTCCCATGTCATGCAGGCTAGGAATTAACAAGTCTCTTGAATTTCCAGTTTCATCTTAACCACAAAAACAAATTTTCTGTCTGAGTAGGGATGGTTCATTCTGGATTTTAAAACATTTCTTAAATGGAGTGCTAAAATAATTTACAACTCTGGCTGTGTAATGGTTGCTCCCTAAATGCTCAGGTAATCAGCTTTATGGCTGCAGCCTTTTCTTCTCCTGCTGCTCATCAAAATATACATTTTCTTACCTTGTACAACACAGTCTTTGGTGCAAGCACTTTTCTTCATTGTAGCTTGAAGAACAGTTGCATTCATCATCCAAATATGAGCTTTGCACTGTTTCAGTGGTAAAGCAACAATAATAAAAATGCCTGGCTTTTCCTCCTGCAGACAACCACTGTGGTAATTAATGTGAATGCACTTAGTCGTTAACTGGCACTCCATTGGCTTTTATGGGTCATTCTTGTGATCTTTTTATTTCTCTTTAATTACACAGGAGGGAAAGAAGAAGCTAAGGTTGTGCATGGAACAGGGCTGCCAGTTGCCAGCTGAAAGGATGCATCTTGGAGTCACCTTTTCCTGTTGTAGAACACAAAAGAAGTTGATGATCTAATACCCAGGTTAGGTCCTGCTGCCATGACTGACAGGTCAGTTCTCTCCTCTGAGTTGCTGCTGGAGCTGAGGTTTTTTCTGAGATGCTGCCATGCTGAAGGTGCTGCTGAGCCATCTGGATTGCCATGCTCATGTTATGCTGGGGGTCTGATTTGCCTTCAAATTTAGGAATGTAGTAATTGCACCTTGAGAGCTGAAACCAGCATCTTGGGCAGATTTTGGTAGGGGCAGCTATTTTTACTAGCAGAAGGCATCGGGTTAGATTGCCCAGTGCTTTTTCAGGGATTTGTTTCTTGTTTCTTAATACCAGTATTATTCTGGATACCTGAACTTCTCGCAGGAAAAACATTGGGAAGAGAGTGTTAAAATGAAATTAGGGGGTAACAAGTTTATACTTGTTTCTTCTGTTCTTTCCCCCACATGGCTGTAAGAGACAGGAAATTGAGTGAGACAGACCTTTGGGCTGGGCTGAAAAGGTCACTTGCCTCTTTGCGTCTCACAAAACCAAGTTCCCTCACACCTGAAGCAGGATAGCACTGCTTGCCCTCCAGTGCTCGCCTGTGTGGTGTCTGGCTTTGCTTTCCTTCCTGAACTAAACGCGAGTTCGGTGAGAGCTCACACACCAAAGCACAACAGAGAACGGTAAACCTGCCTGTTTGGTTTCATCTGGTTTCACCGGTTTGCAGCTGGGCTGAGAAGAGTTTTCAGTCTAAAAAAAGCACCTTATAGCAGAGGAGTTACTTTTCAGCACCCCTGTACAGCGAATGGTTGCAGCTCTTCCAAAGAAAGAAACCCAGCTCACCTAAACCCCAGCTTTGGTCCTCCCCGGCAGCACTAGAAAGATGAATCCGCCTTAGATTGCCTGGGATGTAGCCAAAATGATCTACATCTGAAAGGGAAATACTGCCAGAGCAGTTAAATTTAGCCTTATTAATTATTCCTGGCAGCTCATACAGTGTCAATTAAACAAGGATTTACATTCCCCAACGATTTTGGCATAATTTTAACTTTCAATCTGTTTTAAGTCCTAAATATGCAATCTGTCTATTAGAAGATCGTTGCTTCCCAAATAATTTAAATTAATGTTATTTCATGATTGAAAAGGGTTTCTGTACTGTAAGAAATCATTAGTATATGTGGTTTTAGCTTGTCTTTTTTATTATCTTTACACATCATTGTTTGCTTTTGTTTACTGACTGTCAAACTCTAGAGACCGTTTAACCCTAGTTGTCTATTTGTCAGAGTTAACACAGGATAAAATGGGGATTGTGCGGTGTGGGTTTTCTTTGTTTGTTTTCCAAAGTGAGGAGTACAATTAGACCACAGGCAGGTATTGCTGTGTAACCACTCGTTAGAATTGTACCAGGAGCAAGACAGCAGTTTGAATGCCTGGAAGGTAATAGGAGCTTATGCAGAAGTGCAGTGCCATCCTTGTTGCTATCAACTGCACTGCACAAAGCAGTGCTGTGTGCCAGCCTCATGCCCTCTGCTAG